GCTTCTGAGACTCTTTGGTATGCTTATTTGGATACAGGGTATCGACTATGAGAGGTGGATGGATTGAGCCGTGGTCCAAGGCCAAGCATGATCATCCTGCTTTTGAGAGGCACAAGAAATCAAGGCATGATATCCACACCAGGTTTGGTGAGCAGAGCGGCAGCAGAAGACCCTCTAGAGCTACTAGGGGTGCTCCACAGTACAAAGAGAGTGGTGGTGAAAGCAGCCCCTCTTCTGATAATGATGACACCGAGGATTACAGAGTTGAGCATAGGAAGAGAAAGAGCACTGACAGAGAGTCAGATGATGACAATCCAGATGAGGAGGAGGAGGAGGCACGTCCAGTTCAGCACCCACCTCAGGCAGGACATCCATCTCATAGTATTCACTATGGTATGCTTAAGGTGCATAGGACCAAGGTACCCAACTATGTTACTAGAGTGAATTACAAGGCTAAGGGTATGACTAAGAGACCTAGAGAGTAGAGGAGGATTGATCCTAGGAGTCAGCCAGAGAGTTGCCCATATGATCATAGATTTCACACTATGTTTCAGCTTGACTTTTATACTAGTGTGATCCTTTCTAGAAACCTAGTTGTGGCAAAGTCTTAGTGGACACATGTTAGAGAGTTGCAGAAGCTCTCTCTTCATGATGCCATTGCTACATGTCAGCGCACAGGTGTGTACCAGCTCATGGAGTTTCAGCATCCCTATAACTCTGAAGTTATTGCATAGTTCTACGCCACCTTGTTTGTAGAGGAGCCGAGACGTATGCACTGGATGTTAAAGGGAGAGTGGTACAGTGTCGACTACGTAGTCTTCATAGGGCATCTAGGTATTTTAGAGGAGGAGCTTTAGAGAGACATGATTCACACTGAGCAGGTATTACCTCGTAAGAGGATGGCTTATATGTATAGAGGTGGCTCAGTTGGGAAGGTGAATGGCCTTCATCCCACCTACAGGTACCTAGATAGGATGTTTAGGAAGACCATTGACTACAAGGGTGGTGACAAAGGCACTACTATAGATTACTCTAGGAACCTTCTCCACAAGATGGCACCAGATGCACAACCCTTTAGTATGTTTGACTTTATCTGGTGTGAGATCCAGAGTGTCTGTGAGAGGCCAATCAAGGGTTGTGGCTTTGATCCAAACATTATGTATGTGATTGAGCAGGTGACAGGGCACCAGTTTGATTATGACAGACCTCACAAGGTTCTGAAGATAGTGGTTGATCTAACAGAGGCTAGAGTACCCCCACCTGGTCTAGGAGGAGCAGCAGCAGCAATAAAGGCAGATGCACCTTAGGGTGGTGCAACAACAGGAGCTTCACCTCCACCACGTGCTCCTTCACATTCTTCTTCACATCGTCGTAGCCCTCCTCCTACTCGCAAGCTCTTCAGTGCTATCTTTGGGATGTGCAAGGACAATGAGGTCAGACAGCGGAAGGACACTCGCACGATCAAGATGATTTCCTAGAATCTTAAGCTTAATCCTCCTAGGTCTCCTATTTCAGATGATGACCCCCCTTCCAGTGAGACCGAGACTGAGGATCAGAGATAGGTTAGACACAACAGACTATTTGCTGAGTTTCTTCAGAGGCAGGAGCACCAGGCATCACAGCAGCAGGCTCAGTAGCAGGAGCAGGCACAAGAACACCCTAACACCTTGCCACTATAGGCTCGTGTGCCTACTAACTCTCAGCCACACCCTAGTGCTGTAGACAAGTATGTTTCAGATTGGTGGGGTGACCTCACAGGTGGATATAGCTACTGTGGGTTTGGTGGCTATGATCCGTCTAGTGCGGGTGGTTCGCGTCCACCTGGTGCTCCACGCTCAGAGGATGAGGATGATGGTGGACAGAATGATGATGATGACGATGATGAGTGATCACAGGTGTTAGATACAGTTTGTAGTCCCATTGTGCTTGGATTATCTTTGTCAGACCTTTTGTGATGGTAGATGACAAAGGGGGAGAGAGACTGATTAAAGCTTCAGATGTGTTTCATGTGTTATCTTTGTACCTGGAGATATGTACTGCAGCTGTAGTTGGTCTTTGTCATTTGAGCCTCATTGCTGCATCTTTGAGTTTGAGTTTGAGCTTTATTTTATATCTTGTGTGAGATGAGACTTGTGCTTCATGGTTGTATCTTTTGAGACTCATGTATCATGATCTTTATCTTGTGATATATTATATCTTAGTGGCTTATGGACTTGAGAAATCCTTGTGTTGAGTGCTATGTGTGCAATATACATGTTGTATTTATCTTCATAAGGACCATACATGCTTTTATATGATGTGTATTTGTATGATGTGATGCTTTTATATTTGTTCTTGTGTGATATATCTTGTCATATGCATCACGGTTTTATTTTGTCACACACACTTGCACCCCACGGATGCAATGATTTAGGGGGAGTCTCATATGTGTTTTAATATGTGCAATTGACTTTTAAGGTCGTTTTGTGAATTCCATTAATAAGCACATATTAAGGAGGAGCCTCTCATAAATCATTGAACCAAAAAGCTTTAAATATTTAATATCTTCTTTTAAGCTTTAATCAAGTTGTCATCAATCACCAAAAAAGAGACTGAGAGTGCATCAAGCCCTTTAGTGGGTTTTGAATGATTGAATGATAACGTGATTAAAGGTCTAACCCGTTTGCTAAGTGTTGATAGAAAATGGGTTCTCATAGGTAATTGATGAAAGCCAAAATAATGTGTTGTTGTATAAACAATCTAGTTCAAACACAAGACAGCAATGCAAATGTAATTCATGCAAGGCTTATTCATTGTGGGATTTCAATGATTCATATGAAAGCAAGCTCGTTGACAAATAATTAATGAGACATGAGGGATTGTGTGGGGGATATACCTTCGGTATCCATAGGACAAGACATGGGCCGCACCATCAGAGGTGGCACAGCCCACAAGATCAAGGCGTGTGGTGCACGGCACTGTTCGGCGTGCATCGCAAGGCTACAAAAAGATATTGTAATACCAAATAGGATATTTTCTTTGTAACCCTACCCATCCAGAACATATAAGAAAGAGCAGAGGTCCCCTAGACGAGATATATTGAATTTGATACATAATTAAAACAAAATAATAGAGCACATGACGTAGGGTTTTACGTCACATTGACGGTCTGAACCTGTATAAATCTTGTGTCTTATGACTCTTATCACCCGGTTCCTGATCACACACAACCCCACCGATCATTTACTACCGTGGGTATACCCCTCGGTAGACTACCGACTAGATTTCGTCGACAGTGACGCGCCAAGTAGGGGATATGCGTGCTGATTCTATGATGAACTAGATGGGAATCTTTTCTTCAACCAACGTCGTCAGCAACTCAGCATTCGACGGCAACTGACAACAAGATCGGAGTCAAGTTGCACCTCCAACGAGAAGATTCTCAACCTGAGTACCAAACCTTCAATGAAGTTATGTGTGCATCGCATTCTCGTCTCATGCCATTGTTTCGAACAAAAGAAAACTTGTATATACTTTGCGAGAATCAACAACGTTTTTCTTTTAAGATGTTCCAACTGAAGATGCAAAAGAAGGAAAAAAAAAAGCAAAAGGAGAAAAAAAAAAAACTGGAACTTGTGCCGAAACTGAAACCAGCATAGGATTGAAGCCCAATTCGGCAGAGAAGAGCAGCAGCATATGATTGCAGCGCAATTCGGTGACTTTGATCATAGATTTCAGAACGTTAAGCGCAGTACTCCGCTAGCAGCTAGCAGTTCAAGAATGTCTCGATATATTTGCCGGATATACGAAGTACACAACTTTGCAGTATTGAAGAGAATCGTTGTAACAAGCGCTAAACGCCTAAACCTGTATCATGATATGTTTCTATCAATGTCAACTCACAACTCAAGTTCCTTTGCCAACCACATTTGTATCTGATATCTTTCAGACAAGTCCTCTCACCCAAAGAAAAAATAGTAACATTTGCACCTATAAAAAAACGACTACGGTATACTAGACAAGGCACTTAATACGCTGGTTACTATGAAAGAACAAATGCAAATAAAGCCAACTAGCAACTAGCTAGGGGGAAGCACAACAAGATTATCAGAACTGATATTTCCTCACTAATGAGGTTGCAAAGAGCATCTCTTATCCTTGCAAAAAAAAAAGAGCATCTCTTATATAGTTCAAAACCCAACAATGCAACACCAAAAGTTTAACATGAGAAATGCAGCATGAATTAAGGAATAAGGAATATTCAGTCTGAAAACAATCTTGCTCCAGGTCACAGCGTGAGGAAATTTACAATGGAGGTTTGAAATGCATATATACAGTGACTGGCCTTAAACGATTTCACATGTACATGTAGGGTAGTAGGGTTTGTCAAACAGTTGCAAAATCAGGTGTGGCTTCTGAAAGTTGTAGAAAATGCGACCCCAAACCTAAAGCACAGGGACAGGACTCACAGATATCTTCACATCTACTCCCTCCGTTTCAAATTATAAGTTGCTTTGACTTTTTTGGTACATCCATTTTGCTACGCATCTAGATAAATAATATGTCTAGATACATAGCAAAATAGATAAACCAAAAAAGTCAAAGCGACTTATAATTTGGAACGGAGGGAGTATAACATTTGAACAACTATATAATGCACCAGTAGCAACACAAACATGCCCAATGCCAGAACTACTCAATTGCAAACATTACTAAGCACAATTAAAAGTTTCAATGATGCATCTGTTGACAAGGCTTAACAATAAAGACACTGAAACGGATTCAATAGTTCATACACAGAAACATTGCAGCAGAAACGATTAAACTACCAGTATATAGTACCAAATTTCAAATGAGGGGTGCTAAAAAAAACTATAGCATGTCTAAGCATGAAAGAAAAAACGAATGTGACAGTTTTCTCATTAACCAAAACAAGACCTGTATCAATACTGGGAGTTCAGGTCTTCAACGAAACAGATAATTAGCCAAAAAAGGAACTTTCTTGCATAGGGCAATTCCCTTCAAGCAACAGTGGCATCTGGACTCTTCTCACCCTCACCACCATTAGCAGAAGATGCATTGTTGGCTTCTGCCTCAGCAACAGCATCCATTTCCTCTGCAGTGGCATCAACTTCTCCAAGTGGGCGAACCTGCTCCTCCTCTGGAAGTGGCTCTTCAACATAATCATTCTCAAACGCATCAGATGGCACCTCATAGATCCTCACCTGTGGCTTTGCTGGATCTTTCACAAACACATACTTGCCCTCTTCAAACTTCATGCAAATGTCCACAATTGACTTGACGATTCCCCACATGTTTGCAGTGTTGAGGTTGATCTGTGCGGCAAAATCCCTTGGCTTGTACCCCATCACAGTGAGCACAGAATGGTTGTAGTGATCACGGGGGTTCACACGTGACACATAGCCCAACTTCATCATGTCAGCACCAGCAAGCAAAGCCTGGGCAGTCCAGCGAGCAAGCTTGTTCGCATTGTTCTTGAGCTCTGTAGCAAGGACAGCACCACGCTGGTTCTCAAGCTTCTGCCTCCAGTCAACACCAGTAATCTTTGGATCAAACTCATTTAGGGCGTTGAGGGTAATAAACTGGCGACCACCACTTGGATCAACATTGACAGCATGCACCTCGCAGCGAGCAACCAGACTGATCTCATCATTCAGCTTCCAGCGGCGGTAGCGGTAGCCAACAGATGCTGCCTCCTCGCCCTCAGAAGCAAATGGATTGGGCTCGTCAAAGGTAACCTTCTCACCATTGCGGTGCAGCACCTGCTGTGAGAAGTTCTGGTTGATGTAGGTGGCCTCAACAGCGAGCGAGTGCGCTGAGTTGATGTCATCCTTGTTCTCAGGAAGCTGCTCCTGCGCAGTCTCATTGACAGTGAGCAGGTCGAGCTGGGAGCCGTCACGCTTGTCAAGGAACAGCTTGTTGCCCACGCGCTGGACGACCATGTCCCATGATTGGATGCTGCGGGGCGTGCACATGAGAGCGGCGAGGATGGCATCAGTCGCGAACACCGTGGCTTTGTCCTCCTCAGCGAGGCGGCGGATGACAGGGTCGTCGGTGGTGGTGACCTTGAAGAAGTTGCGGGACTTGAAGCGCTCGAGACGGCGCGCAGCCTTGGGGTTGAGACGGTCATAGGCCCGATCGTAGAACTCGACGGCGCCGCATAAGAGGAGATCCTCGGGCTGGTCGGCGACGGAGAAGGAGAGCTTGGTGAAGTTGGCGAAGGGGATCTGCTCGCGCATGGTCCAGTCGGGCTGGATGTCGACGGAGGGCTTGGCCGAGTTCAAAGGCTGGTTGAACCGGAAGTTGGGGTGGTGATGTGAGCGGTTGTTCTGGAAGAGGCGGTCGCGGCGTGCGCGCTCCTTCTCGGCCAAGCGGCGGCGCGCCTCCACCTCCTCGTCTTGGCGCTGCGGGAGCTGCTGGCGCTGGTTGAAGCGCCACTTGGGGCCGAACCGTTGCGGCCGCGGCGGCGGCTTAGCGTCGACGAGGCGGAACGAGGAGTCCTCGGCCCCGGCGATGAGCGAGTCGTCCGCGGAGGTGAAGTCGAAGACGGAGTCCCGGGAGGCCGCGGCGAAGGCGGCTGGGCCGGCGGGGTTGCGCGTCCAGTCGGCGATGCGGCCCAGCTTGTCGGAGCGGGAGAAGGGCGCGAAAGGGATGGAGGCGCCGCCGCCCAGGGACTGCGGAATCACCGGGACGTCAGGAGGGCCCCAGCCGTCCGGGTTGGACGGGACGACGCCCAGGTCGAAGCCCATGGTTGCGGCGGCGATGCTGGACTAGATCCGGAGGCTAGAGGTGGCGTCGATTGCTGGACTGGATCCGGAGGCTTAGAGGCGGCGGCGCGGCGGCTGGGGTGGGATTACGGGGAGGAGGGGGCTTTAGGGTTTGGGTGTAAATCGAATTTTTATATGCACGTAAAATATTTGACGCTCAAGATTGCACCTGAGGGTCCTACGTGTCAGCGTCAAGATTGCAGAGTCCTATGTACGTAACTTCGTTTATGAACGTCTTGACGATGAAGAGTGTTTTGCGTTCAAAATACACGTATGTGTTATGGACACATATTCAAGTCACGCTAATGACCTCGACTTACCTCTTTTGTTTTTTTTAAGTTCAGAACAGTGTTTTCAGCTAATTTTAGACCAACGAACGAAACTATTATCAACTATCAACTACAGCTAAAAAAATATAAAAAGAAGACAATTTTTTTATTTTTTTTCGCTCCTCTTCCCGTCCGTGCCATACCGCATCACGCGCTCCACTCCATCCTCCCCCCGCCGCTAGCCCCGCACTCCCGCAGCCTCCCTCCACGGTTCCTCCCTCCACAGTTCGATCCCTCCTGAAGGCGTCCTTTTTTTCCGATCTGCGCCGCCGCCAGCACGCACCGCGACGTCAATCAAGCCCTCGATCCCTCAGCCCTCGATCCCACAGCCCTCACCCTCGCCCTGCAGTTCGCGTGAAGCACCGCAACCTCGATCGCGGGCAGGACGAAGCCGGGCGGGGCCTCCATCGCTGGTGGAGGCAGGCATCGTGCCCCCTTGAAGCAGGACGACGACCTCGATCACGCGAATCGAAGCCGTCGTTGAACACCGCGTCCCCTGCACCAGGTACGTCCTGCGATCCACCGTCGGTAAATTTGTTGGCGGCGCGTGCGTGCGTGCGTTTCCTGGGCGCAGCCCCGTCCGATTCCCTCCACCGGTCTCCCTCCCTGGGACCACGGCCGGCTGGGGCTGGCAGCCAGGAGAGGCCGGGCTGGCCACGAGCGGGGGCCGCGCGGGTCATGGCGCAGAGGAGGCCACCGGCCGCTGATGCTGGGGTCGCTGGCCGCAGATCTAGGGTCGCCTGCTGCAGGGGCTCGGAAGCCGCGCGTGGCCACGACTCGGAGTCGCCAGCCTCCTGGCCACCGGCGCAGAGGCCGCGCGGGGCTGCCGAAGCCGGGTTGCCGGCGAGGAAGGAGGAGGACGCGGCGTTGGCGCTCAGGAAGATGGAGATGGGCTGGCCGACGGACGTCCGCCACGTCGCCCACGTCACATTGGACCGCTTCCATGGTTTTCTCGGCCTCCCCGTCGAGTTTGAGGATGAGATGCCCTGCCGCGTGCCCAGCGCCAGGTGAGAGCAACCACTGCCACCACCTCCTTTTCACCTTCCTGCATCACCGTATACGATTCAAAATCGAAACTTCCGTGGAAAATTTCGGTTCTGGGGCAGGAATCATAGTGAAAATTTTGATTTTCTAAAGGATGAGTTCATGATTTTGAGTGCTCCCGATTTGGAGCAGGTCCTTCATCTGAGGATGCTGTTCCGTCAGAGCTCAGATAACTACAACTTCATTTTCTGCAGCTATATGCTTGGATCTGCACAGTGCCAGAGCAATTCCAGTATTAAGCAGAACTTTTGTGGAATTACAGCAATGTTAGCACTCATCCAATGGAATTTTTATTCCTGATTCACACACTGTGATCATACATGGATCTATGATAAACTAAAGCCTTTTGAATGTTTGTCATGTGACGGGAACCTGATTTGCTGTGGAAATGCAAGTCTGTGGAAATCTTAGGTTTACGGCGCTTTGGTACCATGCTATATTCTGATTATATATTCAGATTTTTTTGTTTGCATTGATGGTGACCATATGATGGATGGACTAAACAATGATCCCATTGATTTCTGTTTGCATTTATCTTTGACCATATGGATGTACTACAAAATGATCCCATGGAGGGAGGGCTCCTTATTGTCTGTAATGCTTCGCTGGGTTTGTTTTAGTTTCACATCTCTAAAGCCTGGACATACCTTATTGTGTGCCATGAATTATATGTTGCACCATTAAAAGGCGTTTTGAAGGCCTGTGTTGTTGGCACCAGCTTATGATACAACTTATGTTTCATGATTCTTTGAGTTGATTTTTTTTGTGAAATTACAAGTTTCATATATAATTTTGTACAGTAGTTGAGTTTATTTCTGGGGCATTTGTAGAATTTTCTTATGGCGTTTTCAAAATTACTGAATGGTTGCCTTGCCTCAGTCTGTAGGTTGATGGTCTGCAGGCCCATGTGAAGAAAAGTGGACTTTCAACAGAGATTGAGCTGCTTATTTCTTCCCCTTTACTAAGGTATAATCTGGTAATATTTGTGTGCATGTTTTCGTATTTTAAGTGTTTACTTTGCATGCACTATTTTTTCTCCCTATTTTTCTTCATCAAACACAGAGCAATAGTATATTTTCTCCAAGCTAGATTCGCACAAGCCATAACATTTTAATTTGCTAAATCTGACCTGCTCACATGACCATGTAATCATCTAACTGATGTTTTTTCTTCAATTTATCGCTGTACGTTTCAATATCCTTTTAGGGTGGCAGGTTCAAGCAGAAAATGGTGCCGCTGCTGCCAACACACAGGTGCAAACAATTGGCTCCATTAGTTCAGTACAGGACAGTGTATATGTGTGATGATCATTTGGAAATGTTTTCTGAAATACTTAAGGTTTGGTGAATGGAAGTTTGATCAGTTTTTAAGATAGTGGAGCAGATAAAAGAATGGAAGTTTGGCCAGCTTTGAAATTAGCAGACAAAATCATATATTAATCTCTGGATAATTAGATTCTTAATAAGTATATTTTTGCTTCAGCTCTGTTGAGAAAGAATCTCCTTTTGTAGAAAGTGAAAAGGACTCTTCTTTGTAATGGAGCTATTAGGTAGCCATGTTTACAGAGCTTTGTTTTTTTCCATTATGTGCTTTCTACAATTAGATCCCTTTTATAAAGTGCTCTTATCAGTAGTTCTAACATGGAATATGATTTGTGTTACCATAATAGAGACAGAGAAACCAAGATTCAGTCTTGAGGTCCAGTAGCCTCCATTGTTAGCGCTCTGTTCGGTTCAATTGATCGCTCTGCTTGGTGCCTCTACTACCTGTACCTAGTGAGTTCAGCTTTCTTCTTTTTCTTCCCATACATACTACGAAGTTGCTCTTGATTACTTTGCTTAGCTGCAAAATCAAAGTTTTTTTCTTCATCGTCAGACCATGCTTTAACCCCTTCATGAGCTCACACTTAGCTATAGTGCCATGACTACAATTGTTTGTTAGGGATGTAGCAGCAACATTATTTGTTAGGGAGCTCACCCCACACTCCGGTCCGCCAGTTGATTCCATGGCTATCAAGTGCCGATTTTAAGCGGTCTCACAGTTCAGTTCTCGAATCTCAAATCCCCCTTTTTTTTTGTCTCTACAGCCTGTGCAGATGGACTACTCACTTGTATATCAATTTCCAGTTTTAATGGCTACTTGATTTCAGCTGTATATTGATTATATTGTCAATGTTCATAGACGGATGACATATTGCAGTTGTCAAAACATATCAAGGAGACAATGATAGAAGTATATGTTTTAGTTTTGATGTGGTAATTTTTTTCCTATTTTGCTGCAGGCTGCCCTCTTTCTTGATGTTTTTTATCAAGGACAGAGCTTCATTCTCAAGACATGATTAATGAAAAGCTTCAGAAAGTTGAAGAGCTTGGTATGGAAAGCTTCCCCTGTCCTCTTGGATTGCTATTGGACGATTTTTAATTCATGGACGATTTTAGATCCAGTCTGGTTTGCTATTGGATTGAACTCTAATTACCCAAAGATGTTTCAGATTACATTTTGGAATCAACTGTAGTGCTAGATAGATGCCAGAAACTATTTTGAAGTACAAAAACTAATTTGATTTTTGTTTAGTCACCAGATTATGCTTTCCATATTTTTTGCAGCAGGTCTTCCACCAGATGTCCAGATCATGTTCTAAATTTCAGTCCTGAACCTGACCGGTTATATTGTTTGCAATTCTTCAGGTGGCATGCTGTATTGACATATTGGCTTTTTTTACTTCATCTTTGATTTCAATTACTAATATTTGATCTCTTAAAATTTCAGCCTCCGGCGGTAAGGAAGTGGAAAGAGAAAAGGAGTAGATGAGTTGGTAGAATCGCTGAAAGTTGCACTAGAAAAAAGAACCACAAAAAGGATATATTGATTTTTTTAGTAGGAGTAATACAAGCTGTCTAGGAGTAATAAAAGGATATATTGATATATTGTGTAATTGCAGCAAACAAGTACGTTGACACTTCTCTTTTTAGTTGTTTTTGTTGTATTTTGAGCTTGAGGACAACGGTGGATTTAGCCTTCTTTTAAAGGTATGCATTATCTTTTAGTTATCACACTTTGTTAGTCAAATGAAAAAAAAAAAGAAAACAAAGTGTTCGGTGTTTTGTACAAGCACCGCAAGTAAATTTATAGTAATGCGTTAGGCTCGGATGGTGCGCTTGATTTATACTTGGACAACCCTACGTCCAGTTTGGTCGCTTAGCCTTAGCACCTTTTGCGATGAAGGGGTATAAACTATCGAAAAGAGGGATGCCCATGTCTCTCTCGTTGAAGGGATGTCAAGAGCCAGCTTATCACTTTTGATCTTTTCCCCCTGTTATGAAAGCGCATCCTCTTTTTATAGAAAAGGGGCTTTAAAGGGCTTTAACAAAGTTGTATTGTGGCTATTATTGGCTTTCTTCATAACATGCTATTCTTCCAAGCATGTCCCTCAGATGTCGTTGGTTCTGTGAAAAAAAATATTTTCCTACCAAGTTTAGATCTTTTGATTGGTAAACAAATATTTTCTTGGTGGACAATATTGGATTATTCCGGTCGTAGAGATAGCAAATCCTTTTTACGGATAGTGGTTGTCGATATTCTTCGTGGTTCCGTGTCCCCCGAGTCAAGGTGGCGCCTACAACTCTACAGGTGGAGAGCTCACACTGTGACACCTTTCGGCTCTACATGCGCCTGTCCGTCATCCCCTCGGCAAGATTTCTTTTCTGCCCGAGTGCAGAGAAGTGGTATGGCTGTGTCTTGCCTCGTCTGGGGAGAAGTGGTCAGTAAAATGAATCCAATCTTTAGATGTGAGTGAGGCTTGTTCCTTGCCATGGGAGAAGCGGAGACCAATAATCTACTACGATGTAATGTCGAAGCGTCCCAGGGCGAGGCGGTCATCCTCACCCCTCGGCGAGACCGAGCAATCATCCATCCTCGGATCTCCAAGCCCACCCCAAAGGCGTCGTGCCAAGCTCAAATGGTTTTCCGTGATAGATATTAGAAACGTCACATGGTTCCACCTTCCGGGTACCTATGGGGTCCCCGAAGGACATTGGCTTATAACATGGTCATTTCCTACCAAGTTTAGATCTTTTTGATTGGTAAACAAATATTGATCATTGGATTATTGGTATTCATAGCGACGATGCCAAAAAAACACTATGTAATGTCGAGAGGACTCCGTATTTCCATCCTCGGATCTCGAGATATTTGATAGAAGAAACATGTCAGCGTCATTTCGAGCGATATTGATCACTCATCAAGATGTGCTATTCCTCGTGAGATATTTGAAGAAGCTAGCGTCGAGCAGAATTCCGAAGATGTGCTATTGTGCGACTCACTCAACACCGAGCAAAGGTCTACCTATGATGAGATAATGGTCGCTGTCTACAGCAAACAAGGCGGGTTGTTCTTTGTGGATGGACCTGACGGAACGGGAAATACATTTTTGTATAGGGCACTTCTTGTAAAACTACACAGCCAGGACAAGCTTGTCGTGGCTACAGCTACATCTGGAGTCGCAGCAACCATAATGCTAGGCGGGAGGATGGCCCACTCGCGTTTCAAGATACCCCTCACTCTTTAAGAGGGTGGTTGCTGTAGCTTCACAAAACAGAGTGATACTGCTAAGTTGCTGCAGCAAGCAGCTCTCATAATTTGGGACGAGGCATCTATGACAAAGAGGCAAAATGTGGAAGCACTAGACAACAGCCTATGGGATATAATGGGCCAGTCAAACCTACCGTTTGGTGGAAAGACTGTTGTCCTTGGTGGGGATTTCAGACAGGTCCTCCCTGTTGTGCGGAAAGGATCCAGAGTTCAAATAGTCGGTGCTTCTCTATGAAGGTCGTATCTTTGGGAATCCATGCGCCACCTAAAGCTCGTCCGCAACATGAGGGCTCAGAGTGACCCGTGATTTGCAGATTATCTATTGCGTATTGGTGGTGGAATGGAAGAGGTTAACGGAGATGGCAATGTACGTATTCCAGACGAGATATGTGTCCCGTACTCTAGAGATGCCGAGAAAGATCTTCATACATTGATCGACATCATCTTTCCAAATCTAAATGCAAACATGGCGGATAAAGACTATATTACCACCAGAGCGATTTTATCTACACGTAACAATTGGGTGGACATGATCAATATGAAAATGATTGATATATTCCAGGGCGGCTAAACGGTGTTTCACAGTTTTGACTCCGCGGTAGATGATCCACATAACTGCTATCCATCAGAGTTCCTTAACAGTTTGACCACCAACGGGCTGCCTCCACATGTCTTGAAGCTCAAGCTCGGGTGTCCTGTCATATTGCTTAGGAATATTGACCCTGCCAATGAGCTATGCAACGGTACAAGGCTAATGGTGCGGGGGTTCCGAAGAAATACAATCGACGCTGAAATCATGGTGGGGCAACATGCTGGGTAGCGGGTATTCCTTCCTCGAATACCACTATGCTCGTCTGATGACGAGATGTTCCCGTTACAGTTTAAGAGGAAGCAGTTTTCTATCAGGATAAGCTTTGCCATGACGGTCAACAAGTCACAGGGTCAAACTATCCCGAACGTGGGTGTGTACCTATCCGCACCGGTGTTCTCTCACAGTCAGTTGTACGTTGCGATGTCTAGAGCCACGTCAAGAATAAATATTAAGATCCTTGCCCTCCCGCCTGATGCGGAGCCACAAAAGGAGGAGGCCAAAAAGATAGATAAGAAAAATGCTAAAAAGAATTCCGAGGAGAAAAAATATAAGAATGCGTCAAATAAAAAAGATAAGGATAAGAAGACCCCAATAGCGGATGAAACTTTCACGAAGAATATTGTATTTAAGGAGGTTCTAACGCCATAGGCGAGGTAACAGAACATTACTAACGCATACAATGCATTTTTTCCATTCAATTTATATTGTACAAATAATATCTCACTAATGCCATATTTGTTGTTATTCCTAGGTATTTTTAAATGGTTTATCATATTCTACACGGAGATGTTGTATATACACTTGTGTGATGGCATAATGAAAATTGAACATTGTTATATTATTGTTATAAAAATGACACTTTGAGTGTTTTATTCATAATATTTTGTTTTGTAACTATTCATAACTATTACACGTGTATGTTCTCAAAACCATGAGTTTTGTCAATTTTTTCCATTTTTCTCATGTGCCAATGTGGGATCAACCAAATTAGCACATGCATAATTATAAACATAAATTACTTGAATAAAACCAACAAAGTAAGTTAGCGATAATAATGAACAATAGTGTTAAACAACACCATACCGATGGTCGTGGGATGGCACGATCGTAGTGGCGTTGGTTCCGCGCATTCAGGAGGATAGCTCTTTTGTATTTTCCATTGTTGCACCAGGGTCATTAGTTTGTGAGCACGAAAGAAAAGGATATCGGAGATTTCTTCCTGCCAATATAAAACATTATCTTAGCCGCATCACGGAAATGTCTATAAAGTAGAGTTTGTGAGTCTACGATGCCGCACACTCCGTGATTGTATTAAATTCATAAACTTTGCTTTTTGGATTAAATGTCATTTTAATGTTGGTATTTAATTTTTATAGTATTGTTATCTTATCATGCGATCCGTGTATTTTTAGTATAAAATGTTAGCTATCCCGTAACAACGTACGAGCACGCTACCAATAGTAAAAAAATCACGCTATGGAGGGTATGTTTAGGCATGTAAATTCTCTCACTTTGTGCCACTTTTGAATTGGAACACTTGTGGCTGAGATGTTATGATGTTATTTGGCAGGCTCCTAGCCACTTGTAGGCAAAAAGCTAAGAGCATCTTCAAAAGTACCTAAAATAGTCTTCCAATCTAAAAATTTTGGCAAGATTAACAAGACAACAGTCTGATCCTAACAACGATCCTAACAACAAAATAAATGCCTGATATTCTTCCCTCTAACGCGGCAAAGAACTTTAAGGAACTTTGTTTGGGCACACAAACAAAACAAGTTATGTTTGGTTGCTTGTCTAAACATAGTTTTAAATAGCGGGCTATTGAAAATATCGGCAACTTTTTTTAACAGCTATGAGGCTATAACGGCGCTATGACCGATAGCGTTTTTATAAGAAAACATGAAAAACAACAATAATTGATGAAAAACATGGTAAATATGAAAATCGATGAACACAGATATGTTTCTAAGGTTCCACGAGTCTAGGTAATATTACTAATATGACATTACAACATGGTTCATGGAAGTCCAGTGTTTAATTATCCAAAATACCAAATTAGTAGCATATGATAAGTAGAAAATAATAAATTAAATTGTCAAAATCTATTAGTGATTAGTGATGGCAAAATCTGAAATAGCGCCGCTATTTAAACGCTAAAGCTATGCAATTAGCGGGGTTATAGCACACAATAACAGTTAAAGTTGCCATAGTGGCACAAATGCAAATAGCTTAGCGTTGAGTCTCCCGCTATTTTTTTCTATATGTCTAAAAATGTTGTTTGGCCAGGTAGCAATTTGGTTTTTTTAATTTTGGGTGTCTGGTGGTCAGGATTTAGTTGCTTGCCGAGTAAATGTCTGGCAGGACACCAACCAAACAAGCAGGCCTATTTGGTTGATGTCTGCTAGGCAACTTTGCAGCCGAATAAGCATCTAGACTTAGGCTTATAAAATTCAACGTCTACTTCCTCTGACCTAAAGTAAGTCTTTATCTCGTATTTTGATGAGTCAAACAATTTTACCTTTGATCAAATATATATACTTAAAAAATATTAATATTTGTTATACGAGATAAACATTGTTAGATTAGTTACGTCATATATTTTATACCAAATCTATTAGGAGATACAAATGTCCAAATTTATTAGGAGATACAAATGCTAATACTATTTTTTATAAACTTATTTAAAGTTGAGAATGGTTGACTCCTCAAATACGAAATGGAGACTTATTTTGGGACGAACGGAGTATTAGCAATCTTTGCATGTATCAGGCAACTTTTTAGTCATTCATCCAAACAGCCCCGTATGTTACTTGGCTGGACTAAACTGGCTGCACATCGTGGGCTACGAATTTGCCTCGACTTGGTGTTCCTCGTTGTTGTTTGTCGGATGACGGGAAAAAAATGGTGTGCGCTGAGACCACATGCTGCCGGCCAACGGGAGAAAACATCGCAGGCAGATTTTTTTGGCGCGGGATACCATCGGCCAATGGCAAAGGGTGTGGCGAGTCTTCTCTTGTGCTTGAAGATTGTGGGTAAGTCTTGACGATTGGCCTCTCTTCTTTGTCTCCCACGTGAATTGCTCCTTGAAATTGATTGAATTTGTATCATGAGATTGCTTTGATCTAGGTCATCAGTCTTGCCTTTTCACATAGAAGTAGCAACTCAATGAAGATTTATATCAGGTCTGCCATCGAAATGGAATCGAACAGGCAAGCATCCCAAGATGGAAGGAAACAGGTGTGCGCAACATGTAATCGGTGATTATGGCATAGTTTTTCAAATTTTCTGTTCACTTTCTCGTACTTTGTGGTGTGTTTTTTATGTGCAGAGAGAGTTTGATGCGTAGTTTGGTACCTCATGTTGGCATGAATTTCAGAACTTTCAATGAGGCTGGGCATTTTGGCCTAGCTACTATGGACAGAAAGGTTTTGAGGTCAGGAAACGGTATACAAATAAAAGATCACCGATAACAATATTACATCGTCTTGATTTGTTTATGCAAACCAGGGTCATAATGCCAAGCAAACTCTTGCCAACTTAATCCAAATCAGAATAGCAACATCAAGGGAACAATCATGATGCAGATGATGGCCAAGGTCGCAATAATCGATCCCTGCTCAAAGGCTTTGCCTAGACCTCCCACCCTAGTGAAGTGCTGGAAGGCGAGATACACAGCTATGGCCAATGACAGTACTGCACCACCTTGAGTTCCCCTGTAACCATAAATTGGAAATCAGAGGATTCAGAGCACATGAGAAAACGAACTAGTGATTTTTTTTTTCTGTTCACCAAAATTAAGCAACAACTTTCATAAGGGAAAACTGAGAATATGAAATCAGCATGATGATGATACTTCAAAATATGCTACCACTACAAGTCTCAGTGTGCAAATATGCTACCACTACAAGTCTCAGTGTGCTTTTTCCAACAAAAAAAACACAGATGTAACACAGTTCAGTACAGCAATGAAAAGATGATTACTTGTTTAACCAAAATGTTCATATATTATAGTTAATAAAAAGCTGTGTAAACAAAAATTCATCAGGATCAATGTTGAAATCTTCCATACCTCAGATTCATCAATTGGTAAGGAGCAACGCTCACAAGCAGCATTGTTGATAGCGGAAGCTCCAGTTCACCTGCAATAGTCAGATTTTAGGTATAATAAATAATCGGGTAAACCTAGTTACCTACAACGTAAAATCGGTTCGGAATCAATGCTACAAAGACGTGAACTATCTTCAAGTTTGCTATAGTAGGATTACAATATAACTTTATACTCCCCATGTTACTTTTTTCTTGAATCCTACATGTGAATACTTGCGAAAAAGTAATAAAGTTTGTTTAGGTTGGCCACAGGGTCTATGTTGTTCCCTTAAAAAATGTCTCATTCCATTATCTCAAAAACAAAGTATGAAATTCATTATTAGTAGACAGAAAGAATCTCATAAATACTCTTATATTAACCATGTTTGCTACTCTACCTGGAATGAAGAAGAATAGACGCACCAACAGAGCAAGAAAAGCAGTCCACTGGCCATAGTCACCCCTACATATGGTTGTTGGTAACATAAAATAAGTAGGCATGACATAGTAATTTTAACGAAAATAAGAAGCATACAAACTGTATTGCAGACAAAGGAAGATAAGAAACACAGGTATCAAACAATTCTTTCCACAAATAGCAGTATCTTACTTGATCCACGAGATTATGCTGCAAGGTGCTTGAAGAGCAAAGAATGGCACAAGGAAAGATTTGTGTATGGCAGTGCCTTTAGCAAGTAATAGTACTCTGCAAAAGATAAAAATAGTTAATGTTCTTCAAATAAGAATCATAAAGGGTGCTGCAAAGTTATACTGTTACTGTGTATGTATTTCCCCAATCCCAGGTTTTCCCTGGAAGTCCTAAAACGGTTAGGAAGATGTTGTCATTCCCTTCTTTTAAAATGACTGCCCAGTGTCATGCTAGGGAAGGGCAGCATGAACGACGTGAACAGCTATATGATAACTCATCAAAGATCTGAATCAGGATTAATTCCATTTTTTACATGGTAGTTCATCCTCTTCACGATATGAGCATGTCTAGTATAAGAGATCAGAGGCACGAAGGACACATGCTAAGTGGTTACCCCGAGAGGACAAACAATATTTGGAAGATCAAATGAAATTATGTTTTAAGACAGTGGACTCATATGTTTCCATACGGAAATGGATTCCATCAACAGGATGGCATTTGTTTTTTCACTGGAGTGAGCACTAGTTCTAGCTACTGCTAGAGTGGTGACAGCATATGCTTTGCGACATGAATAATAAGATCACATTTCACAACATGGCACATCTCACAGGCGTATGCAGATATCAACATGTCAACACTTGCAAATAGCTCAGGATCCTTAATAAGAAGGAAAAATAGCAACAGATGAACAGATGAACGGCAAAAGAAAACAAAGGCCATGTTTCTGAACGTGTGGACCGTTCGCGCCCATCAGGCCATCACACAAGACAAGAGGGGTAATAATGCCGAAAAAAGCAGAGCGGAAAGAAAGAGACTTTTGGTTATGGGTGGCAGGATAGGAGGCCACTCACGCGCTGGCTCCGGCGGAGATCCACTGCATGGTCTGCGCGCTGAGGTACGCCGACGAGTGGCACACGGCGGCGGTCCCCCTGCGCTGGCACGGCTGGCCGGCGCCCAGCGGCTTCAGTGGCAGCGACGCGCATCCCCTGCACAAATGCGCGTCACCAACGGCAGTCTGGATCAATAATAATCCCACGAAAGAGGAGGAGCTCCCCAGCCCAGTGGTAGGTTTCACCGAGGGCGCACCGCCCCCGTAGACTCACCTCAGCGCGCCCGTGTCCGTCCGCACGGCGGCGCGCGCGACGTGGAGAGAGCCCCCGTCCCCTGCCGCTGCCGCTCGCACCCTCAGCCGCGTCGGCGCGGCGGCGGCGGGAGCCGGGATCGGTAGCCGCATCGAGATGGACATTCTCGCCGCTAGGAAGGAATGATTGATTGGCTCGCGGCGCGGACGATGCGGTGGCGTGGGCGTGGCGTGTCTAGAGTCTCGGAGAAGCTGCTCGGTCGTTCCGCTCTCGGCTCGCGCGGGCTGGAGCGCAGCTGTGCAGGGATGGAGCACAGAGGAGGACTGAGGTGTCAGCAAAGCTGTGATGCGGACCGGCGAGAGAGCGAGCGGCTGCGAGTAAAAGTCGCGGGCGTGGGAGTCCGTGGGCGGCCACGTGGAGCCGCCCGTGGCCCCCGCGCCCCGTCCCGGGCCGTACGCGTGTCCGCCGCGGCGCGCGGGGGAGGCAACGGTCCACGAGGGGCCGCACGCTCGGTGCCGGTGCTCTTGCTTTGCTTGCCTTGCCCGCTTGCTTCTCTTCCTCCTCCTCCCCGGGCGGCGCGTGGGACTCGGCCGCGGGCTTGCCTGATTCCGTTGGGTTTCGTTTGGGATCTGCCGAGTGGTGTGGTGTGGTGGACAGACTCGAGCGAGCGAGGCGACCTGGCGTGGCGGGCGCGTCACGGGACCGGCGCGAGCGCGTGAGGCTTGTCACTGATTTTCGCTGGTACAACTAGTAGAACGCTGCAGCTGGTTGTGTGCGACGACGGACGAGACGATCAGAGCCCCGAGATGTTTCCTGCCGCCGTGCCACGGACGCGACCGACGCGCGCATCACGTGAGTGAACCGTAAAAGTTGCGCTGTTCGTGCCTTGCCACATCATGCGGTTCGGTTCGCCTAGGCCACCCGTGCTGCCAGTAAATAAATAGAGTAGAGCCTCGGAGATCCAGTGCATTTGCATCGTCCTGCGGTGCACCAGTGGCCCTCATGTACAGGAAGGTCTGGAGTCTGGACCAACGAACGTGCAGTGGACTTGCGGGCCTTTACGCCAAACACGAAAGGTTCATTAGGCCCACGATTTTAGGGTTCAACATTAGGCCCCATGATTACTATGATTCTCCTCGGCCCAAGACTGGTTTCGGGCTGCGAGCCCAGCCTGGAAAGCTTGGGGCCCCGTTCGTTTAAGGCAGTATCACACCAGGAAATATTCCAGCTAATGAAAACTAACGCAAATTAACTAATAATTTCTGCCGGGAATTCTTCCGGGGGACCATTCCGGAGCAAGCGAACGGGCCCTGGTTGGGTTACGATCCGTTCGGCCCACGGTTGCGAGTGTGGGGTCGATTGAAAGCTGCCGATGAAATGGCGAGGGCGTCATGCTTTCCGCTGTTTTTACTCTCTCTAGTCTAGACACTGATATCTGAAAGTTACAATTTCTAGTGGTTATATAAACAGAGACACGTTAACTGTCGATTGTCAGTTTCATAGAAAGAAGTCGTTACAACTTACAACAACCGGCAGTAACCGCCAGCTAGCTTGTTTCACTTGCCTCACGGAGTCGCTATCAGTCTGTCACTAGGACAATCTCTTTCGTCAAAAATACAATTTGCTTTCTTACCGTTCCTCAAAAAGAAACATGATGACTCCAAGAGAGCATGAGTTGCAGAAATATCAACAGACAACAGAGGGGCCGGAGAGGAGGTGTTACTTCTGGCTGCTACTTTGCATTGAATCTGTGGAATCGCAAAAAGGAGAGAAATCTGAAGAAAAATCCACAACCACCGCAAAATCCCGGGCGCCCAATCACCTTTCTCCATGGAGATTCCTAGCCTCAACCAGAGCTGCCTCATCTCCCTGAGGCTCCGGTCGCGCCAAGTGTTCCAGCATCCCGGGCGCACCAATGGCATCCAAGCAACAGATTTTTCTGCAACTCTTGGCGACATTCAAGATAGAACTGCGCGCGGCGGTGTTTCCCTCCATCGCTTTAAATACCTTGGTCGTCTCCACAGCAACTCAAGCCATCGATCTGCAAGTCTCACTCCTCGCCCATCGCATAAACAAGTGCAGTAAGCAGCGCAATGGCGAGCAGCACCATGGCCCTCTCCTCCACGGCCTTCGCCGGCAAGGCCGTGAACGTGCCGTCGTCTCTGTTCGGCGAGGCCCGCGTGACGATGCGCAAGACGGCGGCGAAGGCCAAGCCGGCGGCGGCGTCCGGCAGCCCGTGGTACGGCCCTGACCGCGTGCTGTACCTGGGCCCGCTCTCCGGCGAGCCCCCGAGCTACCTGACAGGCGAGTTCCCCGGCGACTACGGCTGGGACACGGCCGGACTGTCCGCCGACCCCGAGACGTTCGCCAAGAACCGGGAGCTGGAGGTCATCCACTCCCGCTGGGCCATGCTGGGCGCGCTCGGCTGCGTGTTCCCCGAGCTGCTCGCACGCAACGGCGTCAAGTTCGGCGAGGCCGTGTGGTTCAAGGCCGGGTCACAGATCTTCAGCGAGGGCGGGCTGGACTACCTGGGCAACCCGAGCCTGATCCACGCGCAGAGCATCCTCGCCATCTGGGCCGTCCAGGTCGTGCTCATGGGCGCCGTCGAGGGCTACCGCATTGCCGGCGGGCCGCTCGGCGAGGTCGTCGACCCGCTCTACCCCGGCGGCAGCTTCGACCCGCTCGGCCTCGCCGACGACCCCGAGGCCTTCGCCGAGCTCAAGGTGAAGGAGCTCAAGAACGGCCGCCTCGCCATGTTCTCCATGTTCGGATTCTTCGTCCAGGCCATCGTCACCGGCAAGGGCCCGCTCGAGAACCTCGCTGACCACCTCGCCGACCCCGTCAACAACAACGCCTGGGCCTACGCCACCAACTTCGTGCCCGGCAAGTGAGGGAGGTGTCCGGATGCATGTGAGCGCGCACTGGTTTCAGTTTGTACCATGATGTAAATTACCAGGGTTCAATCAAGAAGGAATAATTGTGTTCATTATCTCGCGCCACGTCCAATACGACTCATTCTTTTCCTTTTTATTTGCCTGAACAATCGGGCATCAGAGTTTAGACATTTGCTTACCTGATGGAGGTCGTGGGCTAGCACCGTAGAATTTTGTTCAACTTTTCTGGGTGTGATTTTGTGGTCACTGCCTCACTGGGCTTCTGCAACCCATGCTTCTAGCGATCCTTACAGTGAGAAGAGTAAACAGATCATGTTTTAGCTGCATTCTGCATTGTTCATCCTTTGTGGGGATTTTTTCGATCAGTGTAGTCCAGCCATTGAGCAATCGGTATTCGCAAAAAAAAAAAAAAACGGAGCTCTGACACTGACAGGCTACAATTTAGTTCCAGTTGTTTATCAGTATGGTCATGGTGTTTAGCTGTGCTATTTGTCTGCACTTCGTTACACATGCAAGAATCTATCTATAAATTTAGTACACAACCTTTTAGATGCGATAGTAGTACGGTTAAGCAAGTTGACCAGCACTCTGCCCCATACGGCTAGCTGAATTTTGGCTGAAACTGACTGAAAACACTATTCTAGCTGAATTATTGTGAGAGAAAAATACTGTTCCGGTTGAAAAAGCAAACCGAACAAGCCGGCTTCTGGATAAGCCAAATGGGGCAAAGTGTGAAACTGCACTAGGATATTGCGTGTAACGTTAAAGCATAGCAGTTTCCAAATTATGGGGTGTTTGCGCGCCAATCGGGCAATGCGCCTTTGTGGCGTTGTCTTCGTTCGCCAAAGAACGCTTTGTTCTCTGCAACTTTGAAATGACACACAGTCACACATTGCAGTGCAAGAGGAAAATCTGCGAGGTTTCCATTTTTTCAGAGTTTGGTACACTACAGATTCCAGACTGACGACCGACGACCACCCCATGAAATCAAATGTTATTTTAGCCCAAAAAAAGATTGCAGGGACGATGAGTCCCAAGGGCCCAACTATCTAAGTGGACTGGACCGATGAGTGGCCGTGGCCCCTGCTTGGCCCACAATACAAGTAAGCTTGACGAGTGCGATGCTATCTGGACCAAGAGATTGAAGGAGGGAGTTCGCCTGGGTGTAGGGCCTTTTGTTTGAGCAAGAAGCTGAAAAAAATTAGCTTATCATACAATAGAAGTTATGAAAAGAGTTTGCTTTTGGTAAGCCAAACTAAAACCGCTTGTTTTTTTTCCAGATATAAACATGTGACTTTTAACATGCTTTCTCAAAAATGATCTTTTTCGCCAGAAAAATTATAAGAGACTAACAGAAATAAACAAGGTTGCAATCTCCTCAGGTTCAGCCTAACCATCACTGTTTTGATTAGAGATTAGTGAGAGGGCTCGGTGCTTGGCCAAGCCATGAGTACTCAATAGGTCTATGTGTCTTTGTCCGTTGTTTGACCTACTCGGAGCATAGGCCTGTCCAGAATCAGCACCACACATGTCATATGTGGCACTTCCCTAAACCAGTCCCCACCTAAAAATCCAACTAGTACAAAAAGCCCAACTCCGTGCCCATTACCACTGGAAAACCACCACAGCTTGCCACCGGGATCTCGAAGAAATCCACGATGTCTATACCAGGGCAACTTTGTAGCCCTAAATTATGATGAATGATTGAGCGAAGAAGCAATTCCTCAAGCACAAATGACAATTACAGCTGAAATCCCAAGGTTGGTGATGGTGGAAGTAGTGGCGGTGGATTTGGATGATGAGAAGCGGCAAGACGGTCAGTACCGGTAGATGGCAGGGACGCACGGGAGGATGGGGCGGATGGGGCGGAGGCAAAAGTGTAGGATCACTGGTACGGCTAGAAAGGGTGAATAAGTCTATAAAAATTCAACTCAAACCGAAGTCAGATTCATCCGTGGCACTGTCGCTCTATGAGCGCGGCACTGTCGTACTTGCAGGAGAGATTAGTTCACAGTTCAAAATCTTGTCCAATGAAATTTAGATAGGGTATATTTCTTAGCTTCTTGCAGGGTAGTAGATCATAGATCGACAGCTGAAAATGGTGGGAACACCACACACAAATAGATCGGCCTCAAACTTTAGAAATCACCTCAACAACAATATGTCATGCAAATAATGTAAATCAAACACAAGTGACACAATGATTTATCCCGTGGTTCGGCTCGCCACCAAGGCTTGTCTACCTCCACGTTGTTGAGGTTAGCCACCAAGGCTTAGAGCTTTCCAGTCCTTACTCGTTCTCAAGTCAAGAGACTTAACTCTTGAACATGATGGGTGAGTTTACTAGATTCAAGAGATGGTTACAAACCTTTTGGGGCTGCCACACAAGTTGACAAGCTCTGCGGACGACGCTCTAGCCGGCTAGGAGCCAAACTCTAAGAGTAACAAACACAACCGCCAGTTAAAATGTGAACCAAGTGCTCTTTAGAGTTTGGAAATCAATGGAGTTGCTCTCTAATCAAGTTGGACCCTTTTCTCTCAAGGATTGATAGGGAAATCAATGGATTTGCTTGGGGACTTTAGGTCAACAATGGAGTGAGAGAGAGAGCTCCTTCTCTGTTTTTGAACGTGCTAAATTGAGGAAGAAGAGGTAGATTGGTTATCATTGAAAAGGAAGGAAAAAGGTATATATACCCCCCAGCCCCCAACGGTCACTTGAATCGTAGATAGCCGTTGGGGAGGGAAAAAAGGTATATATACCCCAGCCCTCAACGGACACCGCACCTAAGGGGTCGGGCGAGAGTAAGCCCGCAGCCTCGAGGTCGGCCGAGACGGAGCCCACGACCTCGGGGTCGGGCGAGCCGGATCCCATGACCTTGGGGTCGGGTGAGGCGGATCCCGCGACCAAGGGGTCGGGCGAGACGAAGCCCGCGACCAAGGGGCCGGGCGAGTGAAAGTGTATTTACCCCCTATGTGGGTTTTGGTGTATTGATGACATCCAAATTATGGACTAATGTGATCTTAATGAGATATGTCGTAGCTATTAGTCCCATGAAAGATTCAAAGAGTTGATACAGATGAAATGGTATCCCTCAATTTTTAAAGTTGTAAAGGTGGACGAACTCAAAGCGCTCTCCAAAGGTTTTATTTTTGCTTTTGAGTTTATGATCTGCCGCACTATAAAAAGGGATGCAAACTTAGTTAGTCTGAGAAAGATAGAGTGCTCAAGCATTAAAGTAAAATCAAAAGAGAGACACTCTAGCACTCCACGAGCACGTAGATTATTTTTCTGTGACTGTTGGTGTCGGAAGTCCCGACGTAAGCCAAAACTCCTGACCGTCGGAAGTCACGACTCATGCCGAAAGTTCTGACTCCCAGTCACTTAACCTGCGCGATGACTGCGGACGTCGAAAGTCTTGACGTGAGTCGGAAGTCCCGACCCAAGCTGGGAGTCCCAGCATCAGTGGTTCTGCTGGCCAGCTGTCTGCGCACGTCGGAACTCCCGACGTACGTCAGAAGTTCCGATCGTTGGAACTCCCGACCCATGTCAGGAGTCCTGACACCTGCTGCGGTGCTGGCTGGTTGTTTAACTGCGCACGTTGGAAGTCCCCGCGTACATCAGAAGTTCCGACCGTCGGAAGTCCTGACGTTTGCCGGGAGTTTCGACACTGACATGCTCGTGCGGACTTCTGACTTTTCGTGAACAGTGTTTTCTGTTAACGTTGGAAGTCCCAAGATCTGCGTCGGAACTTCCGACATAGATCTGAATGGTTAGATTTCTACTTGGAGTATAAATACCCCTCTCTTCACTTCTAACCGTTACGGACTCACTCACAACTGACCCACTTCATGCTCAACAGCTCCCAAGCAACTAAAGCACCCCTCTCCTCCCCCTTTGCTCCAATCTTCGATTCCCTTAGGGTTTTGAGTAAAAGGAGAGTGGATTAAGTGAGAGTATCACTTTGGCAAGCTTGAGCACTTGATTTCTTTGTCAAGCCGGTTGTTTTTGCGTCTATTACTCTTGGGGCTTTGCCCCTAGCCGGCTAGGTGTTGTCCAGGGGCTTCCATCTTGTGGAAGAGCCTTAGAAAGTTTGTATTACCCTTGATTTCTTAGTGGAAAGCTCAAATGACCTTTGTGGTCGCTTTGAGAGAGGCAAGGAGGTGGAAGAGACTCCGACCTTGGTGGTCATCTCAACAACGAGGACGTAGGAGCTCCTTTGTAGGGTTGCTGAACCTCGGGATAAATCCTTGTGTCCCGTGTGCTTGTTGTTGTGATTGCTAGAGATTACTTGTATTTGTTTGTCTCTTTCTCTCCCAAACTTCATTTTAGGGTTTAGACTCGATCTACGGTTTGGAGGCATTACGGCGTCAAGGGAGTGACCCAACTTCTTCACCAAACCACTAGGAAGTGGGGTTGTAAGATTATTTATCCGCAAAGTTAAATTTGGCACTACTTTTATAGTTCACGTAGGCGTCGGAACTGCTGACGTTTGTGCCGGAACTTCTGACAACGTCGGGAGTTCCGATCCAAACGCCGGGACTTCCGACATTGACTGACAAATTTGAACTTAGCATTTGTAGTTAATTTTTAGATACGCCTATTCACCCCCCTCTCTAGGCATTGTTAGATCCTTTCAATTGGTATTAGAGCAAGGTCTTCTCTTTGCGCTTCACCGCGTGAGAAGAAACAATGTCGGAGTCCGACAAGATGCAAGTCATTGCCATCGAGATGGCCAAGAAAATAGCTGAAGAGTTGATGGGTGCTCAAGTCAAGTTCTTTCAAGATGAAATGGAAAGGTTGCAAGATGAGATGAGCAAGATGAAGGAAGAATTGAGCAAGAAGGTTGATGATGCAATAAGTGGCAAGAATGATATAAGTGACAAGAATGAAGCAAACAAAGATACCGCTAGTGATATTGGAGCCGGTGAGCATGCTCATGAAAAGGGAATATATTCAAACATGAGCTTTGACTATGGACAACTCATAAAAGGTTCAA